ATAAAGGTAAGGTTTTGATTTAACGTATCTCTACGTGTGATGGCAATTTAAATTCTTAGACATGTCATAAATATACCTTCGTGCACACAAACTCACACCGGCATGGTTGTGCACAGTTCTCTCTAAAATGTATTCGTTACAATGCCACCAAATATAGAGGCGTTATACATATACAGGGGTTTGGCGATAAACATAGGGAAATATATCATGGGATTTGTACGTGACTTGCGTGACAATCAGGACACATCGAGAATAGGGTCACATACATTTGTGCCTCAAAAAGGAACATTGATATATATTGGCTGTTAACGAAGTGGCAAATGAAACGATGGACACTGCATCCAAGTTTTACTCTATTAAGAATATGAACTACAATAGCGAATGGTCAACAACTTGTATGCAAAGCTTCCTTAGTTGACCCTTTGAACTATCGGAATGGGAATAACCTCCACAGAATTGAAGGCACGTCGTGACGGCAGTAAGTGTGATCCACAATGTCTTCGTACAGACGTCAATGTAAAGGGGGAAATTATCACCAGAAATGACAAGGTAGTAGTAGATGTAAACTGAGAGCCTCACCATGAGGGTGAGGCCTCATCCTACCCTGTGGGGTAATAGTGTGATGGTAAATAAAGGGGGTGAGGTCAGTCAACCTCACCATGAGGGCGAGGCCTCATCCTACCCTGTGGGATATTAATGTGATGGAAGATAAAGGGGCGAGGTCAGTCAACCTCACCATGAGGGTGAGGGCTCATCCTACCCTGTGGGGTAATAGTGTGATGTTAGATAAAGGGGTGAGCTCAGTCAACCTCACCATGAGGGTGAGGCCTCATCCTACCCTGTGGGATATTAATGTGATGGAAGATAAAGGGGTGAGGTCAGTCAACCTCACCATGAGGGTGAGGCCTCATCCTACCCTGTGGGCTAATAGTGTAATGTTATCACCAGAGATGACAAGGTAGTAGTATATGTAAACTGAGAGCCTCACCATGAGGGTGAGGCCTCATCCTTTCCTGTGGGGTAATAGCTAGTGTTATGTTAGATAAATGGGGACTGACCAAGAGGGTGAGGTTCTTGGTGAGGTTTCCACCTCTCCTGTCAGGTATTAGTGTGATGTTAGATAAGGGGGTGAGGTCACCAAGAGGGCGAGGTCTCGTTACACATATGACAGATTATGAAAATAGTGTAATATTTTAATTTATGCAAAGCAATGATAAAAAAAACATTCCATACAAATGGCTCAGGGTCAAATCGACTTGAGGTTATCGTTCACGTGTTAGTAGGTTACTATATTTAAGATACATTAACTTACCAGAGGTTTCAGATGCAATTCTTCATCTCTTGAAGTATAAACAATATTTAAGTGACAAATATCTGTTCGCAGTAATAAAAATTAGCAATATTTACACACATGAAACTATACAGAATGCCAACGTTAATCCCATAATTATCCACACGGAAGGTTCCGAACTTAAACGCAGCCATGTGTGACACAGGTCAAATATGTATATGCATAAAAACCACAATCGTCCATCCAGAAAAAAACAAAGCACATAATTATCAAGTTGGTTGGCATCTTCTGTTCATTGAAACAAAGTTTTCCATCCAGCAAAGACATCACCTAGATCACTCTGTACATAATTGTAGTCAGTCTCTTTTGTAAGTACCTAAATGCAGACAATTAGAAAAAGGGCATCCATTAAAAAAAATAAAAGTATAAAAATTCAATCCAAATTTGTTTGGTCATGTGCTGCATCTAAGATAATACAATTATAATTGTTCGTAGATGTAGCGCCAGCCAAATTCAGAGTCCAAACATCTTCCACCATTTGAAGTAGAATCATAAAAATTACCTACATTGTACGCGCATTATTTCGTAGATTTCATCATAGTCAACGTAAAAATCTATGTTTGTAAATGTCCCGATGACGTAAATGCCACCAAGACCATTAAAATTGCATGTGCCACTTAGTTCTGGCACTGTGTACCATTTCCGGGTTCATGTACAATGTCTGACAATATGGACACTTAGAGGGTTGTAATTTCATATAGCAGTCCTCACAAATGTCATTTTCACACATATGACAAATTATGAAAAAAGTGTCATATTTTAATAATACCTGACACCCCACCCCCCACCCCTCCTCGTGATGAGGCTGGATAACCTCAGTTTACATCTACTGGTAGTTATATACAGCTATGACCCAATTCAGCAGGTCGACCTTTTGCCACGTTCGGGAACAACACATAAATTTGCACTATATAAATAATAATGATAAAATAAAAAATAGTAAACATTAATATTAGGAGACCTCGAGAAGAGTATTGTGCCTCAAACGCTTACCTTTATAAAGTTAAAGTTAGTTTCCAATACAGGAGCCGATAGATCTCCTCTACACTGAACTCACAAATTAAATAATTGCATAATATTAAGTTAAAGTTCTTTGTTAATTACATTTGTCCTATAATTATAATAAATTCTTCATTCTGCCAAAGTTTATCTTTTCTGTTCTTAAAAGTGTTGATAATTGAAGCAGATATACAACGTCCTCCAGAGATTGTTCCAGATTTTGACTGTACGAAATGTTGTTGACTGATATGGGAATATTTTTTTAGTTTCCTTTTGTACTATTTCTGACCGAAAGCACCTGGGTTCGTTTTCGGATTTCTACGGAGCTTCTCGTGGTTTTCGTTTTTGTTTTGGTATTTTTTTCAGTTTCTGTTATTGGCTTATGTGTTGACGATGTTGGTATCTTAATATATAGCACATCATCTTCATCAATTGTTGGGGTGTTTATAAATTGTCTTTATGCCGTGGCCCGTCGACGTCATTAACAAGTTGTGCACGTTTCATTTCGAGAATTATCAGAAAAACAAAATGGCTGTCAGACGGCCATGTTGGATTGTTCACTGTTGAATTTTTTATCTATATTTCTTAAGAAGAACTGAAGAGATCTTTAACAAATTTCAAATGAACGCTTTTCCGTTAAGACTTGCACTTGAGTTGTGCATAATTAAATTTGAGACTGGTTGTTCGAAAATGTTGCCCGCAATGCGATCATCTTTAATTTTGACAGTTCAAGAATTGTTGTCGCTATTTCTCAGGAAGTACTTTACACACTTTCTAAAAAAATTAATGAAAGTTTTCACTTGGTCAGTTGGGTATGCTTACTTATTAACATTTCCTTACGACATAATTTCCACTGTTCCATCATCCTTGTTACTCCTATCTCAGCTTGTATCAAACATTAAAAAAATACATAGATCAAGCGAATTCTCATCCGATTCTCATGAATGAATTTTGAATTGAAGACGAGTAAATTATTGTTTTTTATAATATCGATAGTACAGTAGCAGGTCTACCTTCTTAAACTTGTCGTTTTTACAGTCAAATTTAGTATTTTTACACAAAAGTATTAATACAAGATGAATTAAGTTTGTATTTTCACAAATATCTATCGAAGTTTGGATTTTCTTTCAGTTTTTCACAACGATCTCCGTAATAACACTTTTGTAACATGTCCATCCCTATGCCCTGTCCTGTTTCTTGATGGTATTCATACAAACCAAAAATGGAGGAATGATCAGGGAAAAAATCTTTGTACGCATAGTTAACAATTCTTAGCGACGTAACTGCACCTATATTGAGAAGGTAAAGACAAAGATGGTATGAAGTTTAAGTCATGTGCAGTAAAACCTCGATATAACGCCCCATCGTTTAGTTTGCCACAGCATTTACCGCCTACATCTTTTTAAGGTCTTTTTTCACTTTTTATTACGAATTCCTTTATATGTTTACCTCCTTTTATCGCACTTTATAACAGTAAAATCTATCGGTACAAATGGTGGCAGTATAACGAAGTTTTATCATACAAGGAAACTGTGATATAATGCCCATCGTTTCACTTGCCACCTCGTTTACGGCCAACATGTCCCTTTTTCTTGTTTTCATGAGAACTCCTTAATAAGTTTCCTCAATTTATCGCCCAACCCCTTTATAACGCCAAAATTTCCCAAAAATAGCCATTCTTGCATCACAATTGCTTCATTGTTATATGTTTTTAAAAAAATCTTGCCGTTCCTGTCTGCCTTTGTTTGAATAAAAAAGTTTGATGATGACATTTGAGAAAAGCCCATTGACGTAACAGCGATAGATGATTTACGCTTATAATAAGGTGTTGAGACAAATAAACACTGTTTTCCAGAGACCAACATATCGATAGCGTAGCTTGACACTCCTTTAAATGTACTGAATAGTTGGATAACCAATAATTTACAATAAAACCTCGACATTTCATTTGCCACCTCCTTAACCACAAACTTTTTTTGCTCTTTTTGTTTAGAACTCATCGATACGTTTCCCTCATGTTATCCCCAAACCCTTTTATATAAATAATACCCCCTGCTGCTATATAGACCAGATTTTTTTCAACACAGGATCTAACTTCGTAAAAAAATAATACCTGGATGCACAACTTCAGGTGGTAGACGTCATATGTGAAAACTTTCATTGAAATTGGCTCAAAAGTTTTGGGAGTAGTTGTGTGGGAAAGAATTTTAAACAAAGGGCCATAACTCCGTAAAAAGGGGTCGGAATGAAAAAATAAAACCTGCATGCACAACTTCAGGTGGTAGTAATTATATCTGGAAGGTTTCGTTGAAATCGGTCCATTGCTTTAGAAGGAGTTGTCCGGACAAAAAGTTTCAGGATTTTTTCAACAAAGGGCCATAACTTCGTAAAAAAAAGTCGGAATGAAAAAATAATACCTGGATGCACAACTTCGGGTGGTAGTAATTATATCTGTAAAGTTTCGTTGAAATCGGTCCATTGCTTTAGAAGGAGTTGTCCGGACATATATACCCCACCCCTAACTTCGTTGCAGGGGTATAAATAAGGGAAGATAACTGAGTGTAAGAACAACTACTGTGGAACTCTTTAGTATTTCTTATTTCCTACAGTGGAACTGGATTCCTTAAATATGAACAAAACAAAACACAAATATATTTACATACTTTAATCTTAATTCTAGCACAATTTGTATCATTAATCAACAGCTGTATCTTCGAGGTCAAGGTCATTGACATCTAGGTCAAGGTCATCCATATCTTGAAACAGGGATTCGTCTACTTCCACTGTATCCTCCTCTATAATCATAAATAGAAAAACATGACATGACTTATGTGTCTATCTATCTGTGTATCAGAATTTATCAATAATATTCAGAATTTAAACATATTCATAATGATACTGCAATTTTCAAAGACAAAATCTATTCCCAGGAATAATGTTTTTCACTTTCAATTCCAGGTATAAGAATGAGAATGAGTTATCATGATCTAAAATGACATCTATTAATATTTCAATATTTATCATTACAATGTAATACATAGTGGTTGATATTATCTTCTGTGCACATTTATTTTTACAGTTGTACATATTGTGCAACATTGAACATGGCAGATGATCAAAAGCCAATATATACAACTTGGCTACTTTCTTTTTCCATTTTTTTTATAATGACACCTTATTTATCACAGATTTGTGTAACATTGTGAATGTCATCGATAGATGACATCCTTAAGATGTGTCCTTTTAACTATGACGTCATATTGAAATCCGTTTCCCGATGAACCCATAAATGGGCAAAAGAGCTTGCAACTCTGTTTCTAGTTTGTTTTTATCGTACCGATTCACACGAACGTTATTTAATTTATTTCAATTTATTTATAGATATATGATTTAAATCCTTTTCTTTCTTTGTAAAAAACTATTTTTTAGTAGCATGCCTAGTATGGTTGGAAACAATTTGATTTTTCAAATATTCTTACTCCAGAAAACCCCCCACCTAATTTTGAAGGAAGTGAACCACAAGGAGAAATTTATTTAATTTACAATGCATCTGACTGGATGTACTGGGTATATAATAACACATCACTTCCCACAGACGTTCCACTGTATTTTGCCTTCCATTAGTTTGGAGAGGATTAAAAAGACACTTCTTTACGTGAACTGATGCTAGTTACCTCCCTTTTTGGAAACGTATTATTTGGTCAATATAATTACATCATCAGGTTGATGTCGCCCCGGGTCAACTGCCCCTAGTTATATATCCAAAACAAAATTAAGGGGAGGTAATAACCATATATACCAGAAAACCACAGTGGAACTCTCTAGTGTTTTACCTGCAGTGGGACAAGCATGCATCCTTATAACCCTTTTAACCCCTATGTTATGTAACTTCATTAGACTCTACCATGTATTGATCTGGAATATACAACAAATACCTGATTGAAGGAATTTCACATCCGAATCATTCATGGAATCATCGGTGAAGAACAGTTCTTTCCCTGAAAATAAAAACATCTGCACGTTAATTATCTACAGATTTAGTGATAAATACAAGACTTAAGCTTGTAGGCCATCTCAAGGGACTTGCAGGATGTGAAGCTCTTTTATTGACAGTTTTCTTTTGCCACTGTGGAAATTTGGATAAACGAGAGATTTTAGAAGATTGGTGGGTTTCCAGAAAAAACAAATGAAATATTTTTTGTCTTAGCTTTACCTATTCCCTCATACAACTAATTAATGTTTATGTTATTTGAAAATTATACAACTCTGCATTTTTAAGACTTTATAGGTGCACGTGTACTGAATCCATAAAATAACAGGTATTTTCCAAATCTACATAAATTTCGTATTTTTGCAATGACCAAGGCCTGTATTCATGAAACCGTTCTCATGCTCAAACTTCGAGTTTGTGCTCAAACCAGGTTTTTCCTTATTCCAATGATAGATTGAAAATAGAAGTCACATTTGTCAATGATTCAGAAAAATATATAAAGTCGAAGACTGTTTTCAATGTTTACACTTTAACTTTTTGACCTTGTTACATGATTTAAGCAAGTTTAACTCATTCACCCCTGAAAACACATTTGAACTCCTCCAATTCAAAGGGTGGAATAGTTCATTATGAAATTTCAGGGGTGAATGAGTTGAGAAGTAGAGCCAATGTAGTATGGAGTCGGTTGATCAATGGGGCACTTAGCTCTGGCTGAGTGTGGATACCAAAGTGTATGCAGGGTGATGGCTATAGGATATGTAAATATAAGGAAAAGGGTTTCCATCACAACACAGCTCAGGCGTCGGCAGTAGGGTTGGGTATTTATTTGGTCGACTAGTTTAGCCTCTAAATTTGAGGCTTCATCAGGACCCAGTTACACCTAAAGTACTCTCAGGGGAAGGGGGGGGGCTCTCTTTTTATATTGTGATGTAATGGACAATGAGCCTTGGCCAGGGGCAGTTAAGCAAGATACAAGGAAGTCTGAAGTCTGATCATGACTGAGCACAGAATTCATCCTTGAGCATGAAAACGGTTTCATGTATATTGGCCCTGGATAGTTGTGCTCCTTCAAGTTCTTTAGACCCTAAACATAAAATTCACTTACCTGTGAGCCCCTTCGGGCCGACAACAACTTGATTTTTCATTCTTTTCTGTTCACTCATCTCTGCATCAAATTTGGCTTTCCAGGCTAAGAACGTTTCTATTGTCACTCGTGTCCCCTCAAACTTTTTCTATACAGGAAATAAAATAAACATTATTGCTCTCACAATGTTTTATATATAGAATAAAGTGCAAAGATATATTTCTTCACATTCATGAATGGTATGAAGCCAGTTGCCAGCAAATGATACAAACTTGTGGAGTGTAATTAAAAGCTATATTATCCATCTAAGCCAATGCTGACCTTTGACCCCAGCCAGCATTTAAAGTTGACCTTTGACCTGAATATTATTTTTAGAATTCTAGTCACATGACCTGCACTGTCATTGTACCATAGTTGCAAACATCATATAACTGTGCTCTGAAGACAGCCTCCCTTTTGGCCGAAACATGTCAGCACGTAGGATGTAAATCAAACATTGAATTTTGTACCATATTCTATAAGTGATGTTGTTGCTCATCATATCTATTTTCATTTCCTTTGACCTAAATGTTAGAAAAAAATTGCACTGCTGGTTTACATATTATACCTGGCATTCAAGTATCATTTCTCAAAACCTTCTGGTTCTTATAAATGTATGAAAATGTTACTTGAAATTTTTAACATATTTCACCCTGACGTGACCTTGAAATTTGGTCGAGACAATTTGTCTGAGGAAACACTGAATCACTACCCCCCAGGTACCTACTGGCCAAATATCAGGACCCTGGCATGGGTCTTTTGTTTTTCATGATTTTTTTCAGAGAAAAATATTTGACTGATCAATGCTCAGTCGGGAATCAGTCTAGACTTAATTGATTCACTACTGTTTATGGGTAATTTCCCCTACAAAAGAAAATTCCCCTGTTCTTTGAAATACCCCCTATGTGCTTAAAAAATACCCAATTGCAACAAGAAAATAACCGTTTTTTCTTCAAAATATTTCCCCAATATATGTTTTCTTTAAAGTTCAACAGTTAAAATGCATAATACTGCATATATATATATACTTTTTCACATAATTTAAACAAAAATTCTACAATTTTAAGCTTGAAATTTTTTATAAATTGAAATATACTGCACACATGTATGTTGGACAAAACATTTACGTTTTACATTCATGACGCTAGTGCCTTGTATCAAAACTTAATTTCCCCTAAATCTGAAAAAGGGTAGTTTTCCCTAAAACCTAGATTGATCCCTACCAGTGATGGACACTAGATGGACAACGGTCACTGCACTGTATCATGATTGAGAGCACAATCTCTTTGTGCCAGACAAAAGCAAATGAAACTGATTTATCACATGGTTCAACAGGCAATTTTACAGGAACATGGCCTTGGATGTTTTCAATAGTAAAAACATCTGTCAGGGGCAAAATCAGTTAGAAATTTAAAGCATTCAGGAATTTTCACCAAAGTTTGAACATGACATCACTACATGAATAATTTGAGGTTCTTATATACCACTGTATCACAACCTAAGTCGTAGGTTGTCTCAAGTGGTTCACTAATTGTTATTCGTTGTTATTGGGCCTGAATTTGCAACCAGCCAATATCTTTCTAAACTCCCTGGGGAGCATACAACCTTTGCTGCCATTTTGACACTCACAGCTAACATTCAACATTTCTAACACTGTCCAACCACATAGTCATTTACAGCTGAGTAGACTGGAACAAGCGGAGTAAAGTATCTTGTTCAAAGATACAACACAGTGCTGTGATGCAACTCGAACATGTAACACTTTCGTCATGAGCCAGGCATCCTACCGCACTAGACTACCGTGCCGCCAACAGTTTACAACCACAGTAACTACAGGAAAACCTGAACAAGTCCTTGATTACAAATGTTATGTTGTTGAATTCTTAACTGTCCATTTACTGACCAACAACGGGTTGATCGGGTGGTGCAGTGGATAGCGCACTTGCTTTTCACCAAAGCGGCCACGGTTTGATTCCCCGATCGGACGTGAAAAGGTATGGGGTCACCTGCCTGACCATGTGGGTTTTCTGCAGGTACTCTGGTTAACTCTCACATTATGACTCCTGCGCACTAACATTTTAGCCAACAAGAGTGATTAATATAAGTTGAAATACCTTGTTTCATAATTGCTGTAGCTAACATTCGAGCCAACAAGAGTGATTAATAAAAGTTGAAATACTTTGTTTCATAATTGTTGTAAAATAAATAAAGCTGGGTTGATAAAACATGTCACAGGAAATGACACCAAACGAACGAAAATGAAAAAAGACAAACATTGATCTAAAAAATAAAGGTGGCTATGGTTAGGTATATCCCTCTGAACAGAACAACAGTTTTACGGTAGGTCAGAAATTGAAATATATCTACTGTTTCGAAAAGAGATTGGAGATTTGTTATATTATGATAAATATTTTCTCTTGTTTGCTGAAGGTCAATGCAAGCTAATAACAAATGTTTTGCTGTAAACGCTAGTTAACACTAGTTGACTTTTCCATTTACTTTTTCAGTGATTTAATTTTGTAACTGGTTCGTGGTCTTACGGCCTAAGTATAATTATTCAAACATTGACAGCCCTAGTATAAGTTTATACTAAATATTAAATCTTTTTAGTAACTTTAAAAACTAACCATTTCCAGTTCATCCTTCTTCTTTTTCTCATGTTCCTCAATTTCTATTCGGTTCTTCTTCGTTTCTTCAACAAATTGAGTCAGTTTTTCCTGTACGGTCGAGACTATTGTGAAAACCATCACCATACCAAGAGATTCTTCTATCTGTCATGAAAATAAAATCTTTACATGATTAGACATATACAAATCTTTACATGATTAGACATATAAAAATCTTAACATGATTAGACATACAAAAATCTTTACATGATTAGACATATAAAAATCTTTACATGATTAGACATATAAAAATATTTTGTACATTTTGTATATAGAACAATGTTTCATGCATGTGTAACACGAAAGAGAGTATCGTGTTTCAACTGGGGATTGAATTCTGCAACACACGGCTGCCCAGTCTGCGACTCTAGCTAGAAGGAGAATGTAATCCTATGTAATCTGCCATACTACTTAATACACCTTTTTTAAATGCATTTACCCTTGTACACCACAACAACCGAGGTTCTAACTGCCAGTTATCATAGAGAGGGCCACGGACACCATTTGTATCAAGAAAGAGAATAGTGTGTTACTACTGTACTGGGGATCGAAACCGAGACCCCTACTCCGATTAAAATAAGAGGCCGCTGATCGGCCTTTTTTTCTATCGAATATGATTTTGCCAACTGCTTTTTTACACGGCGCCTGTCAAAAGTATCTTGCCGTGTAAACCTTGAACGTTGTTGGAGTACTGCGATCCCTAATTTCCCAGTCTCGCCGTTCTACCAATCTAGCTGAAAGGGATTTCCACCCAGTGTAACGATAGAAGGCCATCATATATACCTAAAAACAATTGAAATCTGCCACACGTTTTTCTGAATTATTTTACACTAAGTAGTTTATGCATATCCCTGCTTAAATGGTTTAGGTATATACCGTTGCTCAAAATTACTTCTTGTTGACCTGGATGTTAGCGCACGGGGATCTTAATGTGGAAGGAAACCAGAGTAACCTGAGAAAGCCCACGCGGTTTTGCCATGAATATTAGTTAAAAACATAAAATAAATAGTACTTAATTAAATGTGAAGGGCAAATTAAATCAGTGTATTTTATCAGTGAAGGGTTTAAGTTTGACTAGGCTTGCTAGAGTATCCTAATGTGCAGTATCTTTGAAATAAACAATATTTCATACAGTAAACATATTAACTCATTCACCCCTGAAGACACATTTGAACTCTTCCAATTCAAAGGTTGGAATAGTTCATTATGAAATTTCAGGGGTAAATGAGTTAATATTCTGGTTAATTCTACAATTCTAAAAATTAAAAAAAAAAAAAAAAAAAAAAAAAAAAAAAGAGCAAATGTTATTTATAGAGTGGACAAATTTTCCTCTAAAAGTGCATTTTGAATATGACTAGGTATCGGTTTTAACAACCAAACCCCTAATGGCTTTCAGAACGAAACACACACTGAATTAAGCCCCTTGAGAACACTCACTGTTTCTGTTATCAACTCGTTGAGAGCTTCAATCTGATCATCCTCCAAGTTTTCATGTTCCGTGATTTCAAACACTGGAGGATCCTCTGGGTACTTTTCGACATAGGAAAACTGCAGCGTGCATTGTGCTACAAGAAAAGTTTACATGAGTTTTGATGACAGAATTTTATGATTAAGTGAACTGAACACCCCAAAATTACACACCAACTGTCTTGTTTCCTTTGAATTAATCTTATCATTTTCTGTTCATTGTTCATAGGGTTCATTGAAGAGGAGTAAATGAATTATCTATTTATCCTGAAAAAAGCCCATGTCTGGTAATAAGCCCAAAGACATGTATCGCAAATTCGGTAGAAATACCTACAAATACTACATACATGTATGCATCAATAATTCAATATCCGTCAATCTTTAATCTATGAGAAAAGAAGCAGTGCTTCGGACCACTGTGCAAAGCAGGACAACACCTTATTCCAGTATCCTCAATACACCCCCCCCCCCCCAAACCTTTTTGGGAGGTAGAATTCAAAAATAAATATACAGATATTGAAGTTAAAAATTACAAACCTGCTAGTTCCGGTTCTACTCCGGTGTCATAGGGATCGCTTATGTCTTGTGACTCAATATGTACTTCAAATACATGATACGGCTGTACTGATATTACTGAAATGAAAAAAATCGACACCATCCAATTATAACATGATAAAGTGTATATTTTTTGGTGTAACAGTCTTTGATGACAATGTAGGGTGTTTTGATGGCAGGATTTCAAGCCCAGGACAAGAAAAATCTTTTTAAATCTTTTGGATCTCAAAACGCACTTGCCCAAAGTAGGAACTTACTGGTCCAGGATCATGATCAGTAACTACAATATTAAAATGGGGATTTTTTTACTATCAAATTGCAGGTGACAGATTTATTTCATTTATTTGTTTAAATATGTGTGTTTATTGTTTAGTTTTAAATTCCTAAAATCTGAGTCCAGATCTGTTCGTTTATTAGTCACGGCATTGCAACTTCTTCTTTGATAAACAGAGATGTGTTTCAGGCGAAAAACAATGTCCCTCAGTTGTAACTAGTACATACAATTATTCAATAAGTAAGCAAATCCCTTATCTATTATTTTTACCTGTTTTAGCTTAAGTTTCAGTTATTTTCACCAGACTTAAATTCTCAAAAATTGCTGAATTGATAGAAAGACCGATGGTAATCTCCCGGCAATTCTTTCCTCAAAACGAAGAAGAAAGTTTGTATTCAAGAAATTTTTGTTTGTTTCATAATTGTTGAAGTATAATCTCACCAAACTACAGTCAATTCACACATGACTTTTAAACCATCTAATTTTGCAATCCAGCACCTAAATATCACTTTCATGTCGGGAAGTCCACCGATTTTCACTTGTGCCCTCCAACCAAATTTACTGGCCTCTGGCCATCGGGCGGGGATATTTCGCACCCTGAAGCCATATATCGGCCCAATTAAGTCAAATGGCAAAACCTGTACATTTTTCCAATTTCAAACTTTAAAGAAGAAACCCCCAATGGCGATATGGCCGGATTGTTACAGTACATTTTTAAGTAAAGCATTGCATGTGATTAGCATCCTTTGATACATAAGCCATGTGCAAGTAAAGAAAAATGCCATTTTTTGCTCCAAGTGTTTAAAACAACTTTGTGTGTTTTTATTTCATTTTATTTCCGATTTCAGTAACAAAATTGTTACTCAAATGGGTATTAAACTGTTACCCAAATGCAGGAGTATTACCCATATGCGTCGTTAACGTTGTGCCCAACCTGTTTAAAGCAGAGATTTACAATTGTATCATTGCTGGATTTCCTGGGATTGAAAAGTGAAATGTAAGTTTGAATTATACGAATGAGTAGAGTTTCATTCTAGCTTCATGCTAAAGGGAATTAGAATCAGAATATAAGACTTTCGAACCTTCAACCATGCTAGAATGTTTTAAAAAATTTACTTAACATTTCTCAATGTTTCTTATACACACTAACATTCAAAATAAATTATGCCATTCAATTTTCCTAATTCCTTTTTTGGCTGGGAGTTTTAAAGTCTGTGGTTAACTGACTTTGACCACGGAACTAGATTGCTATTTAAGTCCGTGCTTTGACAGTATTTTTTGTCTTAGGTTTATAAAAATGTAATTTTAATTCTTAGTGCCTGATCATATTTTTAATTTGAACAAAATGAGTCACATACAGTATGCCGTACAACAAGACATTATACCAAATTAAAGGAAAGCTTAGTTATTGTAGATCAAATCGAAAGTAGATAAGAACCTAAACGACGAAGTACGTACAGCTATAACGTAACGTTACACTTTCTGATTCCCACCAAATGACGTGATATTTTATCAAACGCTTTAAAAACTTGTTGCTGGTACATTTGTCTTATTTTCTTAAATATCATACCAGATATTTCGTCAGGATAGATAGACTCTAGCGCTTCTATCTCATTATTTTGTTCTTCTTTAAAATCTGTCATCTTCTTGTGTTGTCTACATGCCGTTTACCAAACGTCCTTGTTATTTTAACGTTTAATAAATCGGTACAATTTTCAAAGTATCAAAACACACAAACGACCCAGAAGGAATATGGAGGCCGAGGATTTTCTTAACGGGTTTTTCCATTGGCCATTCATTTTTCAATAGTCAATCATAATCGTTGTTCTGAAACAATGTCGGTTCTCGAGGAGGTGTGACTGAATCTGCTTGCAGGATAATGAAAGAAAAGGAAACAATTTAGTAATTACCCATCTATCATGTCAAGACAAAGTACACGTGGAGGAGATCCTCGAAAAGTGGTATGTAGACATGGAATTAAATGTTGCTATCGATCCTAAACTAGCGCTCAATGAGATATGCATCACATTTATCTGAAGTATTGATTTTTATTTAATTCTTACGTTTACAAAATGTCATATTAATAATATCACTGACGGTATATGTCTGTCTGTCTGTCTGTCTGTTGAAGTTGAAGATAATAGGCAAGAGAGAGAGAGCTACGCTGGTTAAAAACTGTATAACAACAGGTGTAATAAATGTGAGAAAGTGCTAATTTGAACGAATCAGTAGAGATCTATATGATATGTCGCTGTAGCTATATAGGTTGTCCAGTCGGAAATAGTTCTCGAAAAAAAGAAAAGTTTCTACACTGTGTTTTGCAAGATGGTATTTGGTAAGAATTTTGATGGGAATGGCATGAGAGGAGTGTGAGTGGAGTTTTCCTTTATAGCAGGGATGTATAGTGCTCTATATACTGTCCCTGCTTATAGTTATCAAGTCATTTTTATATTGTAGAGAGTGGTAAGCCTTTGATCTCTTCTATCAGCTAAAGAGCGCCATTCTGGAATGTTTAGCACGTCACCAACGCTGGATGTGTTTCTAAATTTGTAGGAGACAAAACAAGTTTTAGGATCACATCCAGCGTTTAGATTTTCCTGAATTTTTCCAAGGCCAACACAATCTCTGGTTATACAATATATCACAAAGAAATGTCAGTTAGAGGGGTTTTTATTTATTTTCAACTAAAAAACTATTGTTCATGTGCTGGGAAACAAATTCAGGATATAGGAAACCTAATTTCCACCATTGGATCATTTGCCGACATCTAGTTTTCTTTTGTAGAATGGTGAGCTGTTTACTCTAACTTATGGTGCGTTGGTCTCGCAGCTGTTAAAGGATTACGAAGATGACGATGAGGTCAACAAACAACTTGAAAAAATGTAAGCAAAAACTACACTTTGTATAGGAGGTAAAATTCCTGTCAAAGCTCTATTAATGGCGGAAATGATTTGGATGAAATAAAACACATGCATATACAAAATATATATACTTTATTTATCGGACAAAGTAATAATACAAATGTAAATTATATATATATAGTTAACTGTTAATTTATTTATTTTACAACAATTATGAAATAAATTTTGTTCAGCTCAATACTGATTATATTCCTGTTAGACAAAATGGAAGTGAGCAAAGGTTTTGGGAGTAAACCAAAATAATTGCAGAAAACCCACAAGTTTGAGCAGCTAGCTAGGTATCCTCATACCTTTTCATGTCCAACTGGGGAACAAATCCTGGCTGTGTCTTTGTGAAAGGCGAGTGTGCTATCCACTACGCTACCCAATACTGTATCTATTGTAGTTGACAGTAGAAATATGCCAACAAATGTTATTTTTTTGTCCTGTAATAAGCCCATTCCCCTACTTTGATTCGAAGATCATGCGTTGAGCTTCTGAGATTATCGGGAAATGTTTTATAATAACTGATTTACAAATGTAAGCTCGGTGTTGTTTGTTTAGTGCTGGACATTTTTGTAGGAAGTCCCAGATAAAAATTTCAAAATGAATTGTGCCAAAAATGTCATTGAGTTAATTAAGATCTTAGAATTTTGCGAAGCAGAAATTACTGCCTTCATAACAAGCTTTGGTTTTGTAAAATTCTCAGAACCTGTGGGAGCAATTCCATTATCAGAAATTGTGTGAATTTGTTACATTCATCATATGTAATAAAGAAAATTTGAATGTACAAAAATAAACACATGAACGTTTGGTTGAATATGCTTCTGATAACTGCATCCTGAAAAATAGCATGTGTGATCCACCTGCATTTAATTGCTTAATTATACATGTATATTCCCTTCGTTATTCTACAACTTGAATTGGTCCACCAAATGATTTAATCAGTTAACAGTCTGTCCATCTGCAAAAATGCTACGTTTCTCCATCATCCTTAAAAATTGGAAGAATAATATATCTTGACCAAATGATTGGAACCCCCCCCCAACCTACAACATTACACCAAACTTGGACATCCTATGTGGTACAGTATTGTTTAAAATCAGATTTTTTTGCTTGCAGGGGGTACAACATAGGGGTTCGTCTCATTGAAGACTTCCTGGCAAGGTCAAATACAGGACGATGTAACGACTTCCGAGAGACAGCTGATGTCATAGCAAAGGTAGGTATCTCTAACAGGGTGTCATAACATCTTCATCTTCAAGTAGATAAAGCTAATGTCATATAACTAAGGTAGGTAACTCTTACAGGGTGTCGTAATATCTTCTCTTCAAGGAGATAAAGGTAATGTCATATAACTAAGGTAGGTAACTCTTACAGGGTGTCGTAACATTTTCATCTTCAAGTAGATAAAGCTAATGTCATATAACTAAGGTAGGTAACTCTTACAGGGTGTCGTAACATCTTCTCTTCTAGGAGATAAAGCTTATGTCATATAACTAAGGTAGGTAACTCTTACAAGGTGTCGTAACATCTTCATCTTCAAGTAGATAAAGCTAATGTCATATAACTAAGGTAGGTAACTCTTACAGGGTGTCGTAACATCTTCATCTTCAAGTAGATAAAGCTAATGTCATATAACTAAGGTAGGTAACTCTTACAGGGTGTCGTAACATCTTCATCTTCAAGTAGATAAAGCTAATGTCATATAACTAAGGTAGGTAACTCTTACAGGGTGTCGTAACATCTTCATCTTCAAGTAGATAAAGCTAATGTCATATAACTAAGGTAGGTAACTCTTACAGGGTGTCGTAACATCTTCATCTTCAAGTAGATAAAGCTAATGTCATATAACTAAGGTAGGTAACTCTTACAGGGTGTCGTAACATCTTCTCTTCTAGGAGATAAAGCTTATGTCATATAACTAAGGTAGGTAACTCTTACAAGGTGTCGTAACATCTTCATCTTCAAGTAGATAAAGCTAATGTCATATAACTAAGGTAGGTAACTCTTACAGGGTGTCGTAACATCTTCATCTTCAAGTAGATAAAGCTAATGTAATATAACTAAGGTAGGTAACTCTTACAGGGTGTCGTAACATCGTCTCTTCAAGGTGATAAAGGTAATGTCATATAACTAAGGTAGGTAACTCTTACAGTGTGAAGTAACATCTTCTCTTCAAGGAGATAAAGCTAATGTCATATAACTAAGGTAGGTAACTCTAACAGGGTGACTTAGATATTCTCCTCTAGGAGATAAAGCTAATGTCATATAACTAAGGTAGGTAACTCTAACAGGGTGACTTAGATATTCTCCTCTAGGAGATAAAGCTTATGTCATATGACTAAGGTAGGTAACTCTTACAGTGTGAAGTAACATCTTCTCTTCAAGGAGATAAAGCTAATGTCATATAACTAAGGTAGGTAACTCTTACGCTGTATCGTAACATCTTCTCATCAAGTAGATAAAGGTAATGTGATATAACTAAGGTAGGTAACTCTTACAGGGTGTCGTAACATCTTCTCATCAAGTAGATAAAGCTTATGTCATATAACTAAGGTAGGTAACTCTTACAGGGTGTCGTAACATCTTCATCTTCAAGTAGATAAAGCTAATGTCATATAACTAAGGTAGGTAACTCTTACAGGGTGTCGTAACATCTTCTCTTCAAGTAGATAAAGGTAATGTCATATAACTAAGGTAGGTAACTCTTACAGGGTGTCGTAACATCTTCTCTTCAAGGAGATAAAGGTAATGTCATATAACTAAGGTAGGTAACTCTTACAGGGTGTCGTAACATCTTCTCTTCAAGGAGATAAAGGTAATGTCATATAACTAAGGTAGGTAACTCTTACAGGGTGACGTGACATCTTCTCTTGAATCAAAGGAGATAAAGCTTATGTCATATAACTAAGGTAGGTAACTCTTACAGTGTGAAGTAACATCTTCTCTTCAAGGAGATAAAGCTAATGTCATATAACTAAGGTAGGTAACTCTTACAGGGTGTCGTAACATCTTCTCTTCAAGTAGATAAAGGTAATGTCATATAACTAAGGTAGGTAACTCTTACAGGGTGTCGTAACATCTTCTCTTCAAGGAGATAAAGGTAATGTCATATAACTAAGGTAGGTAACTCTTACAGGGTGACGTAACATCTTCTCTTCAAGGAGATAAAGGTAATGTCATATAACTAAGGTAGGTAACTCTTACAGGGTGACGTGACATCTTCTCTTGAATCAAAGGAGATAAAGCTTATGTCATATAACTAAGGTAGGTAACTCTTACAGTGTGAAGTAACATCTTCTCTTCAAGGAGATAAAGCTTATATCATATAACTAAGATAGGTAACTCTTACAGGGTGACGTGACATCTTCTCTTGAATCAAAGGAGATAAAGTGGATGTCATACCATACCTTTGGATATTTTAGCATTGCAAAATTTTGTTGTGTCAATTTTTTTCTTTTGACAATCCTGTGTGCTAAATTTTGGTGCCTTTGATGCCTATTATTATGCAGTGCTACATCAGTCCATCAATCTACATCCGTAGTTGACAGAAGTTAATCTTCTTTAGCCTCAAAATGTTGGTAGGTATGAGATTTAGCACAGGGGCATGTCACATGCTGTTAATCTTAGAATGTATACGTATATGCAAGCAGGTGTCGCAGTTTCTATAAAGTTGGGTGGCAGTGATATATTGACATGACGATATGATACGTATCACGGTACTGTGGTCACGATACGATACGTATCACGGTACTGTGGTCACGATACATGTAGTAACAGTATAGAAGCAAAAAGAAAAGACATCTAGCAAATTTTTAAATCAAAGTATTACAACTGGAAATAGACTTGTTCCAAAATGGGAATGACTATTATAAAGTTTCACACAATTCACGTCTTTCAATGTGTATGACAAGTTGGAGCTGTCACTCGCAATGTTGGATGGAACTGATATGATATATATATAAATTCAGAAACAACAAAATCCTTAAAATATCGTGGGTGTATCGTAACCTCCCAAAAAATATTGTGGTATATCATCGCACAATATTATAATCGTTGGAACCGTAATGTTAAGTACTACACATGTATGTACATGCACTGTGTCAGCTGATAAGATATGTCCCTGTGAACTGGCAACTTACTCAAGTGAATGATTCTTTAAACCATTAAATTATCATAATTCATGGCACATTTTATAGAAACAGCTATTCTGTTTAATAAATTGAACAATTTGTTTGAATTTCCCCGATTTTCGTCATGATTTACCTGTATAATTGTTGTAGGTGGGGTTTAAGATGTACCTGGGAATCACACCTGTCGTCAGTAACTGGAGTCCAGCTGGAGACGAGTTCTCCCTCCTCATAGAAAACAATCCCCTGACAGACTTTGTGGAGTTACCCCCGGGCCACTCAAGTCTCTGTTTCTCAAATCTGCTGTGTGGTGTACTCAAGGCTGCTTTAGAGATGGTAAGATTTCTTCTTTATTCTTCTTGCAGCTTCTTTCATCTTTCTTTTGTTTGCTTCCTCTTTCACACTGCGTTTGTGTCTCCAAAGTTTGATGTGATAAGCCTGCTGGTAGATTTTGGTTGCTGTTTGTTGTGTTGACGCTGTTTGGAGATTATTTTGATTAAACTGGATGAAAAATCTCTATAAGGAAACAGTGTAAGAGATTCATGGCTCAATTTGTTTAAAACTTGATTAGCCTTGCCCTTTGATCAAGAAGTTCACAAAAATTATGTATTGGAATGTTTTCTAAAAAAAAAAAAAAAAAAATGTTTAAAAATGTGACATGTTTTTAAAAGTATGTAACAATATAAGTACTGGTAAAACATGAAATTTTATCGACAAGTTCAAACAAATTATTTATTGCAAAGTTTTCAAAAAAGATTTTTTTTTGAAATTGCTAAAAATGTGACATGATTTCATATTCTGTGTCATTATTCTTACCAAAAAAACCCATATTTGTCAGCATTCATTTTCTTTAATGACCACAATATGTTCTTTGTTTTACTCAATTAAACAATTGTTATGAGATATTCTAATTTGCATTCATCTCTCCTGTAAAATTGGTATGAAAATGAAAATCGTCTGAAATATTGTTAAATTGTATATATACAGTATATTTGTAAGAAAACAATTATTAATCTGTTTTAAGGTTAATATAGTGATTAATCAACCTGATATTACTGTTCTCTTGAAGTTGAAAATATCTTTTGTTTTGACATTTTATGTACAGTTTAAATGTCTAAATTAGCATTGTAAAGTGATTCAGTCTATCATAATAAGAATCAAAAGACTTGTTTTAATTTAAAGGCAAGGAACAAAAAACAGAACATTTTGTAAATTTACAAATAGTAAAGAAAAAGATTTCATTTGAAAATTGAAAACATGGTTCCTGAAGAACTTCACCCTCATTGATCACATACACATATATTGTTTCATACAGACGGGATTGTCTTGCAACGACACTTTAAATTTCCTTAAGTTACTTGATGTGAAACTATGCATACACTTTTCAAAGATTTTCATTAAAATAAAATTTTACAGAGGGGAGATAACTCTAGAAACCTTGATATGTTTGGTACCAAACCAGGAGTTATTTCCCTTACTCTTCTAAGTGAGTTTTACATTTTGGTTGAAGTCTCCCGATATCTCAAATAAAATTTGAATGGTCATGTGAATTTATATTACAATTCATGTAAAGTAGTTGTGCAAGATTAATTAGTTAGTCATTAATTAATTAGTTAGTCATTTCTAGTTAAAAGTCGTTGAATTAATATACATATTTTCCACATAATTGACCATGCTTTGATTACCTTAGTCATATTTGAACCTTACCGAATCAAAGAATGATCAAGTTTCGTTCAAAGATGTAGGGGTGAATGAGTTAATTTATAATATATTAATCTAGGAGACGGGCATAGAATTTGCAAACACACCACAACTTAAAGTAAATGCTGGTCAAACTGATTTTAGCAAACAAAAGTAATAGCCAGAGTCAGCCCTGGACTGTATTTTCATAGATTAGTTTTTATTTTATGTTTAAATTATAAATTTATCTGATATCATAAAAGAATTCACATTTAAATATTATGAAGATCATGCCCAATTTTCATTTTCATCAGATTGAAAGTAAAATGATCCATGTCGTGCATGGGCAAAAGTGTTCAAATGCTGTTCTTTTTTTCCATTTGAATCTTTGAAAGTTGATAAATATGGTTCTTCAAATGAATGACAATGACCCATTTCAATGTCACAGGGGTCAAAGGTTTAAAAATATTTAAAACACTTTCTTCTTCATAACATTGTTCAGTTTGTTCAAATGAATGAACGACCTTGACCCATTAAAGCACTTTCAAGGTCACAGGAGTCGAATGTTTAATAAATCTTTAAAAAACAATTCCTGATTAAATTAAGCAAAAAGCTGAGGGTGGTGACATTGGGCATGTCGCCTAATTAAGCCTATTTTTGAAATTTGGCCTTGGTCCACTCTTAAGGTTACTGGTGGGAGATGAATACTAGGTGAGCCATACAGGCCCATTGGGCCTCTTGTTATATATTTAAACATCCATGTATCACAATAACATAAAATGTGTGCTGAATTTTGCACACGTTTTATACCCATGTACATTTTTGCTTATACAAAAGTCTGTTTCAATTCCATCTTACAAAAAATAATGAATATCTTCAATGTTTTTTAAACATTTATATTGTATGACTGTGCAATCCTCAGTGAAGTTTTGCCAATTAAGTTCCGAAAAACATATTTTGATTGAGCTTTACAGCAGCTTATATTTGTACAGAAAACAGTGCTTAATTGGTTCGTTAAAAATTAATGATGAGTTTGAAAATGCATTTTATTTAAAAAAGACTAACAATGTAAAACATAACGAAAGAAATTTCTATATATATATACATTGTATTTAAAATTATTGGGGAATTCCGTCATACAGTTAATTATTTTGAAACTGTTGCTTTTTCATAAAAAATAAAGATCTTAAAGATTGATCAGTTTCATTAAAAACGTTGGTGTTTTTTTTCAACTCGCAAAAAACATAATGGAAGACATTGCGTATGTCTAGATGTGATGGATTACCAGAAGTTTGCCAGGACGACTTGTTAAAATGAACGATTGGTTCACACTTAATCTGTTTCTCAAGAAGCTTCCTGTGAGCCATTTTCGAGGAAATTTGGAATGAATCATCCATGAAGTGTGCGACCTGGGAGATTATACTAACCTATACATCATCATAGCGCTGCATTTACGAATTCATATGGGAATTTGACTTTTTGAGTATATTGCATAAAACAAAACACAGCTGCTTGAAATTTGAAACAGATGAGATGGTTTTTTTATCACTGATTATCAATATTAACTCCAATCCTATACTTGAAGACATCATTTTTGTGTTTGTGAGGTTTTCTCAAGAACTCGGAGAAAAACATCTATATATATACTCATAGTACCTGAAAATGTAACAGAGGTATATTAATTTTTAGCTCACCTGCCCAAAGGGCAAGTGAGCTTGTGTCATGGTGCGGTGTCCATCGTCCGTCCGTTGTCGTCTGTCAACTTTTCCTTTTAAACAACTTCTTCTTAAGAACAGACATGCCTTGGCCTAGAGTCATGATATTTGGCTGAAAGCTTCGTTGGTAGGAGCCTGTTAGCTCCAGGTATTTTAAATACATATATCTGCTTCTACTGACTTATACTGTACATATGTATTTTCTTTTCATTGCATTTTGTCATTTCAATACAAAGATTTTAATTATGTCAATTTGACATACGATGAGCATGTAACAACCTGTCCCAGTATCACTCTTGCTTATTATGTCTCCCGTTCGAATGAATTAAGGGAGACATATTGTATTATATTAGTACTGGTTCTTCTGGTTCTGGTTCTTCTGGTTCTTCTTATATGATTTTGTCCGGGTCATAACTTTTAAACCATTAAAAAATATCTTGATGCTGCTTAAAGTGTACCTGCATCACCCATAGACAATGTGTAGTGCACTATCATAAGGTCACTGTGACCTTGACCTCAAGGTCAAAGGTCAAATATGTGCAATTCTTTTAAGGAACTTCTTATTCGGGCTGCAACTTTAAAACTGTTGAAGATATTTTACAGAAACTTAAAGTGTACCTGCATCACCCATAGACAATGTGTAGTGCACTATCATAAGGTCACTGTGACCTTGACCTCAAGGTCAAAGGTCAAATATGTGCAATTTTTTAAAGAACTTCTTATCCAGGCTGCAACTTTAAAACCGTTGAAGATATTTTACGGAAACTTTAAGTGTACCTGCATCACCCATAGACAATGTGTATTGCACTATCATTAGGTCACTTTGACCTTAACCTCAAGGTCAAATGTCAATTATGTTCAAATTTTTCAGGAATGTCTTGTCAGGGCCGTAACTTTTCAAATGTTAAAGAGGAGACATATAACTCTTCACAAAAAAAATATCTCTGGTTTAAATTAATTTTTCGTCATATGAATTCGACGTTTAAAAAAAATTAACTCGATTCTTTAAATTTGATAGTTTGAAGGGAGGTAACTCTGACAGTAACCAATGATCTAATGCATAGATAATTTAATAGGATATTTGATCTTTGGTATTCATCTGTCTGAGGTTTATGAAATAAAAATCTGGAGAAAGATTCTGTCCATCGATTTATCAGCCTGCATTGTGTAACTTGAACAAGTAACGGTCTGATACCATGAAGAATATGCAGACAATATCTGACAAAGTGATATATTTTCATTTCCCAGGGTAGAAAAATGAAAGCACGATATCGTCGTTTCTCATAACTAATCATTTTAATACAGACACAGAAACTGATACAAGAATCGCCTAAAGACCATGAAAACAGGATCTACCAAGCAACTTAAACCCTTTAGGCTCCTGAGATCAGATTTTTATATTACGGTATATATAGATTTGTTGCTTTACCGATGGTTATAGAATTAACGTTTCAGTGGACATCAATAAAAATCAATTTCTCTGAGAGGAATGGTCACAATGCGTAAAATTGTTGTTCTGGCTTTGCTAGAGTGTCCATTTTATACAAGTTATAGAGCTGAGAGGTTCAAACCAAGGACATTTCAAATCAAGTGCGTTAATATCAAAATCTGATTGCTTTCGTTCTCTCGCTTATTGCTCTTTCAGGCCAATCAGGGTCATGACAGTATATTTACTAGGATATTTAATGATGAAATTTAAATTCTGAAAAAATTTAAGAATTATACAATATATTCAATCTGAAAGTTTGGAATAGTATCTGGTCTAATATAAACATTAGTGCAAGGATTATACTGCAGCAAGAGAGCCCTCTATCAACAGTTAGAAACAACATGACCACTGTTAGTGCTGTTGTCATGGTAGTATTTGTCATATGTACTTCAACCAATATTTTCTTCTGTTTAGCTTCAGGTCATATTGTTGTTTTTGGATGTGATAGGGCTTCAAGCTTTAATTCAATAATCTGTTATTTTTTTTATTTTTTTTTAACAAAGGCATCATTTATGAAATTACAGCTTTGTAACTTCTAAATCGTTTTACATATTTTTTTTTTTTTGCAGAGTTAAGTCCCTTAACATTTAACAAAACACTACTTCTCCTGATATGCTGCCACTTAGTGCATCCCTGCTAGGAGCTAAACACTACACTGCTATAAAGACAAAGGCTCTGCCGATTGAACATGAGCTAAAGGGAAATTCCTTTTAACAGAGTCTCTAACAGACAATAAGATGATTCACCGCTATTACTAGACTAAGTTTCTTAAAAATATTTAATTCATTTCATCTTCGAAACTCCAATCCCTGATACTCCAGGCCTAGGGGTTATGTTCACTTTCGCTCCCTGGAGTACTGGAGTATCAAGGAGGTGGAGCTCCAGAGGTAACTTTCTGTATGCATCCTTGGAATATGTCATGACAAAATGGAAGGCTCAAAGTTAGCGGTTTCATTGCGTTTACTGGTAAGCGCTTAACCCTTTCACCCCTGTGTAACTTAAGTAGACTCTACTGTGCATTGGTCAGGAGGAGTCGATAATGGTCTGCTGGGGTGAAAGGGTTATGGCAGATATGTGGACTTTGAAAATTAAAGAGAAGCAACACTTGACTTCAAGGTTGGTCAGTTTGACTGTTACCTGGTACATTTATACGCTACCTTGTAATTCTTTTGATGTACATCAAATTTAAAGTACTAAAGTAGTCTACTTGTGTCATTTACAAGGTGCCATATTCCAAAGGGGCAAAGAACGTCAAAGAACTTAACCCCTAGAATTTCGGTGATGGTATTTGCGTAGAGGTTAAATTTGAATTCATTTGAGCTGTAATAAGTACAACATTTGATTGGTCAATCAGAATAATTTGCGACGGTAAAGCCACGATATATCATTCGCAAATTTCTCATTTGCATTTGAAGCCCGTATGGCGATTGTTGATGACGTCAGTGACCCCGTCCCTTACGCCTCATGAAATTGATTAAATGTGACGTCACGAATAATAACAAGATTCCAAAAGGTCAAAGGAATTCTGCCACACTTTGAATATTCCTGACGTTACCAATCCACGGCAGATTGACCTAGAATTTGGAGAAAACACTCAAAAATATCTTATAATTGTCGTTTCTTTTGGATTTTGTGGCTTATATTAATTAGAATGAGGATAACCCTACTGTATTTTGAGATTTGCAACGGTATATCATGATTATACCACACCAAATATCTGTGTTGCCAATAAAACTCAATTTGCGATGGTATAATCGCAATATTCCGCAGCAAATGCCAAAATACTGTAGGGTTATCCCCTAATTTGTAAATATATAGGTAGCATGTTGTCTGGTAATCTTATACACACATGTAAAATTCATGAAAATTGTTTTTAGATAAAAAGAAAAATACAACCCTTCAACTTAACTTAACATTGACATTTGTTTCCCCTACAGGTACAGATGGAGGTTGATGTGAAATTTGTACAGGACCAATTAAAGGGAGATAACATCACAGAATTAAGACTGAAATTCTTACGCAGACTTGAGGATGCTATTCCAGTGGGAGAAGATTGAGGACATTTTTTTCTGTGACACGAAATTCATTTTATTTAACCCTTTCATCACTGTAGACCATAATGGACTCTTCCAGGTCAATGCATGGTAGAGTCTACTAAAGTTGCATAGGGGTGAAAGGGTAATTGAATTTTTGTTGGAGATGACAGCAAGGAAGTACAATATAACTTCAAAAAGTCATGATAGCGAGTGAATTTTTGTTGGAGATGACAGCAAGGAAGTACAATATAACTTCAAAAAATCATGATAGCGAGTGAATTTTTGTTGGAGATGACAGCAAGGAAGTACAATATAACTTCAAAAAATCATGATATCGAGTGACCAGTGGTGGACAAAAGTTAACCGGTTATAATGCCGAAATGGTCAAAAGGCTACATGAAACGATTTTTCCTTGGATCATGTTGCTATGGATACAGTTGTTGTTGAGGATCAATCAAGATGGTTTGGATATATACTGATCAATCTTGAGGACCCCTGCACCACTGCCAAAAACTGTCACTATGCATTTGAAACTGATTTCCTGGCATGATAGCTTTGATAAATTATTTCTGAATAGGAAATCATAACTTAGGGGACTTTTATGAGAGAGAGAAAATAAGATGAAATAAACAGGAAATAACCAGTATCAGTGTTTTTTTAAGTGTAAACTATTATTGGGGGCTTGATCAGGATTCAGACCCTGGACCACAGACTGCTATATATACTGTGCTGTAATGAACATAGTTTCCTTGTCTACTGTGACTTAAGTGCTATGGCCTAATTAAGGCAAATTTTGCTACAGTTATATCCAGAATTAAGGGGAGGTAAATACGACAAACCACAGTTCAATTTTCAAGTGTGAATTTAATGGTGTGCAGTACTAGTGGGACAGGGATCTTTAAACACATATTGTACAAGCGACAATTCTTTCAATAAAATAGATACTGGAATTGGTCGTATTTTACTGTTTTCACTTTTCTTAGATAAATGATATCTTTGACATACAAAATGATGGTAAAAGATCTAGCCTGAAAGTGTTATATATATTTATAGTAAAGTAGTGTCACACATCTTGTGCAGGTATTGAACAAATGATAACCAGTTTAAAGGTAACCCGCTTTTTAAACCCAGTGAGACCCATACTTGTTACCAAGCAAGGACAAACTAAAATTTCGGCACTTCCTTAGAAACGGTAGAAGTAAGAGATTGGGAAGATCTCTAAACCAGAAAAACTTAAACTTTTTTTTTTTTAATGTCCATTGAAACCTTTTCAACTTGCACTGTCAGCTTTAAGGATCCCCGAAAACCACTTCTAAAATGTGTAACCATACAAAGGAAACGTTTCCTTTGACATGACTATATACATAATATATGTTAATTCTTAAAAACAAAGAAACCCATACACCGCAGGACTGTCCAAGGATCGTTCAGGAATAGATGAAGCTTTTTAATTTGAGAAATAAAACAGAATTTTCTTATTTCATCGTATAACATTTTGTTTGAAATATAACACATAAATAAAAATTGATAAAACTTTTGCCTAAAAGCTATTGTTATTTATACATGTACATGATTATATCCGAAGAAATAGGGTTCTTTTTCATTATCAATGGAATCCTGAGAATGCATTGAACAAATTTGTGTTCAGAGCTTGTACAAGGAAATAAGATGATACGGACTTTTCTGAAATGATAAATAATACAAGACTCTTAATTATATGAGAGAAATGAGAGAGAAATACACTTTCATACCCATTGGTGCAGGATAGGGAAATTCCACAGGAGGGGTCTTGCCAAATTTGAAAACCCCGACGGTGTAATTTCCTTATCGTACACCCCTTGGCATGAAAGTGTTTTTTTTTCTCTCATTCCAACCACCCTACCGGAATTAGCTCAGAAAGCATGAAAATGCGTTTGAACTGGCTACCATTTTGAAAATATTTTAATTCCCCCCTCCCCCCTCACCTTTTTAGACGAAAACTAATTAGCCAGCCAGATTTATTTACGTAGACAAATTAATATCATCTTTCTAACGTGTACGGTAAATATATCGTTAAAGGTTTTAATTTCATCACATCGCCTTTTCCGCATTGCAGCATCGGATAGTTCAAAATTTGTGACATCTCGTCACGTGAAATGGGGTGTGAGATAGAAATGTCCTACACCCCTTTCTTACCCTGGACAGCTCTATATCATACACATACGGAAATGAGAGAATATAATTAAGAGAATAAAGGTGCAGCAAGGCTGGACCAACATTTTACATCCTGCTCCTCCAAACTCCTGGTAATCACCCTGTTAACCAGCTGAGCTACCTGGTAACTGATAATCACATCACCAAATTCAGCTACAATTCCATCCAAAACTGAAATAACTTATTCCCCCCTGAAATTTCATAATGAACTATTCCAACCTTTGAATTGGAAGAGTTCAAATGTGTCTTCAGGGGTGAATGAGTTAAGGGGAGATCAGTCAAGATCAGAAACCTTGTATGGGGACAGGAATCCTTAAGAAAGTCACCGCTAAAATATTAAGTTTGCAGTAGGACGGGGATCCTTAAGGAGGTCTGAGTGACAGCTGAAAAATGGTAACTTTATACAACATTTTAAAAAATGCATTCAAAAATGTATAACAAGATAGTGTACATGCATTTTCGGACTTGCTAGGAGGTCACAGCTGTAATATGGAAACTTTATCAAGCAGATTTTAAAAAATGCAATCAAAAAAAATCAAAACTAGTTAGTGTATATTAGCTATAGGAGGTCATAATTAAAAAATTGAAACTTTATCAAACAGATTTTTAAAAATGCATTCAGAAAATTCTAAAAACTAGCTAGTGTATGTAAGTATTTCATTTAGTATTCCCTATCAAATATCACTAACTAGAGACTGCAAAATCACATCTCTATAAGACTTAAGTGTCACTGGTTGACTGTGAATCTAGGTGTAAAGAGTTGAAGAAAGGACACCTATGTTGGTAACCACTGGCTTGATGTGGACCCCAGCAAGACGGACTTACAGCCGGCTTCCATCAAACCCAATGTAATTTGCACCAGAAAAACATTCCATCTGACAAACCATAACTGGATTTTGCGGGAGGGTGATTCCCTAGAGTGTGTCCAGTGTATTAGATTAGTGCTGGGTTCTGCTGCATTACGGCTTTGATGGATAAAGCCTTCATCTTATCTGTTGCAGAACCCAATTATTCTAAGTATTGAAAGCTTCATGAAAACATTTATGAAATTCCAGTGAAAAAAAATTAAGCACGTTATTCAAGACCGAGAATTATGGTTTTAATTTACACATAAAAAAATAATGACTTTTTAATCATTTTCTTTTGTAAAATAACAAGAATTCATGAAAATATTATCTTTCTAAAATTTCGAATTGATATTATGTTAAGCTTACAATGTACATGGACAGGGCCTTCTTTTCAGAGAGTGAGAATACATCTTACCTCAGCCAATAGCATTAACACCCTCGCTCTACCTGATCATGAATAGCACACTATTTTTATCTTCATTTCTGAAGAGTTAATGATATCTATGATGTAAGATGTCATAACAAGAGATATGTGCAAATGAGTTCTTGTTTCCATGGTAACTTAAGCCCTTATCCATATACATCAGTTTTCTCTTAATGTCACTTTTGTTAAATATCACATTTCAATGTTGTCTATTGCTGATTTTCCTACGTCAATCATACTTTATTGATACATTAATTTTATGGTACAATACAATGGAAATCTTTTTCAAAGATTTGGTTTGGTTTGGTGGTGTTTTACGCCCTATTAACAACTATCGTCGTTTAAGGAGGTGGTGGAGGAAATTAAAGCCGAAGTTCCCGGACAGTCAGACGCCTTAAAGTCATCACTGGGTCGTAGGTTCATTTAAAGATTACTGAACATTTACCTACATTCACATATTAAACATATGTTTTGANTTAGTATCTAGAATAAATTGCTGCGTCTGTTTGGCTATTAGGGTGTTTTCTTGATACGACAATTCATTGTTACCGTATAGTAGTAGCTGCAAGTTAAGTGGAATGAAATCATTTATTCGCGGTAGAGTTTAATTCTCTGATCTGCATAATTATTGCAAGTAAAAAAGGAGTCATACATTTGTATGTATCTTCGATAGGATGTCCACATTGACAGTGCTAAAAATCTATTAAATTAGCATGAAATAAGTGATTGTCTAAGGTACTAGAGTTATTTCTCAATCTGGTGTGTAAAACATATGTTATGTGTTTCAGCTATATTTCTCATTAAGATTAAACTAGAGATTCGTTATAGATATCTGTAGTGATAGTTAAGCCCTGTATGTTTAATTTGCTGATGTATGTCGCACATAAATATGCATATATATATTCTTTCTTAAGGTAAAGGGTACCACTGCATCATTTTATAACTACGTAGAAGAGTTCCACTCATTTTTTTTTTACTTGGAGTAATCTCCCTTTTATAACAAAGATGACGCATCTAAGATGAGTTTGTTTCCGGTTAAGAGTAACTTCCCCTGTCAAGTTATATTCTTTTTATTGTTATTGCATAGCCCTTTTAAACAATAAATTGAACTTTCATTTTGGTGCTGCTAGATTTTAGTTCCTAGATGGCACCACTTGTTACGTGTAGGATTTGCAACATGAAGGTTCATTGTTTGACTCTTCTAGATTTTCTGTTTTCATTTTTTAATTCAATTTTCAAACATTCAAAATTTTGAATAAAGCTTTGTTAAATGCATTGCAACATGTTATAATTATGGGATACTTTGTTTGAAAAAGACATTTATGTACAAATATTTCAAGATATTGACCATAGTATCTTTTTGTTAGTACACTGTGTTATGATAGAGTGAAATATGGTATTTGTTTTCATAGCTACTGCTAGCTCCTGTTTTTGATATGTTCACCATGAGTGTGTCACACATATTTCCACAGGTCGCAATTGTTCTTTGAAATGTTCATCAATTGATTTTGTCGTAGGTGTCAGTCCATTGTAACTGTGAACACTTCAAATGTATAAAACATGAAACGAACGCATTGTGATTTGTGACATCTATACCTTAGAGAGGACCAATAAAACGGGTCGTTAGTTTAACCATTAATATGTACTGTTAGTCATGATGCCGTTCTATTGTTTTTCACTAGAGGGCGCTGTCATCAATAGTTATTGATATTCGTATGCATGTAATTATCTGGGAATAATGACCATAAAAATATACCTGTATTGTCCAGGTTGTCTTTAAATTATGTGTTCCACAGGCTTAATGTGTGTTTTTCAGAGAGTGGGAAACATGTTTATAAATATTAAAGAGCGAGCGTTATATTTCACTGGTTTAATTGCAGACAGTCTTTACTACTGTCTGAAATGTTTGAGGTTTCAAACTTACTTGCAGTAGTTGGCTAAATACAATAGTGTTTTGTACATGAACAAGACATTTTATCCCGATTGTTGATTTTCCCAGTCCACACAGTCTACACAGATATTCGGTGTTAGGAAGTAAGTCAGTGATAGACAGGCGTTTTACTCTTATTAACTTTACGCTACAACAACCAAATAGCTTCAGTTACAGACATACCAAAAGGCACATGTACAAGTGACCATTTATATTTGTAACTGAAGCCATATAGGATAGTAATGAAGCATTGAAATGCTTTTAGTTGGCATTCATTGTACAATGAATGTAATTGGAATCGTCAAATGCTATCCATTCTCATATTTGCAATTTTGTAAATATTTTCATCATATTGAAAAATCATTTTATCAAAATTCAGCATTACGTTTAACTCATAACATTCACCCCTGAAATTTCATAATGAACTATTCCAACCTTTGAATTGGAAGAGTTCAAATGTGTCTTCAGGGGTAAATACATGTATGCATCCAGTGTGCTATTTCAATAAATAGAATTGCCGTCTTCAAAGTAGGGTCAATGGTTTCCAGTGATAGAATGAT